TTCTCAATTGTAGTTCATCATATTCTTCATCATGGTTCCCACAATCTCTGATACATTAATAAGCATTACCTCTGATCTTAACACGAGCTAAATTTCTGAATAGCATCACAGCAGGTAAAATAGGCTGGCTGAAAACGCTCTACCTTTGAAGAAACCGAATTTAACTCTCTGGTACCCATCTAGCAACTTTGCTCAAGAAGGCTCCTTTATGGATGTTTTGAACTCTTCAGAATATGCTTGAAATTGCAACACTTCAACAAATCTTTAAACTCTTAGCAAGCAAACTGCAATGCACTGGACACAATAATCCAGAATCAAAACTTTTGGCCAACTGGGTCTATGGGTCCACAGTTCCTTTGGCATTTCTATTTCAGCTATTGACCTGCTGATTCTGTTTTACATTTTGTTATTTTCTTTTAATGTTAATACCATCATTGCTTAACGCTGTTTTACCTTGTTTTTTGTATGGCATTTGCCTATTTGCAGAGAATCTTTCTGCTTCCACTGGAATTTCTACATTTCCATTTAGTTCTGCTTTTCCTTTTATAACTGTTTTACACTGTGTCTTTCTGGTATTCTCTTATTTTTATAAATAGCCTCTCTCCGTGAGACAAACCATGTAGTAAATCTTAAATCTTCAGGATAGCCTTAATTTCCTGGAAATAGACTGTAAATAGTGTTTACCAGGCCAATAACTACATTGCTTGATCTCAAGCAGCTACATGAGATAAAAGAAACCTAGGGGTTTTTACCCTACAGTAATGAGAAAACTAATGCATTTTGCTCTTAATACATCTTTAGACTTTTTTCTTGACCTCATTCTCTATTTATTTGCTATGTTTTGTAGACTTTTTGGTTGTGTTATTTTTAGTTATATACTGTGGCATTTTCTTCCCTATATTTCTGTGTTGCTTGGTGCATTCTTCTACTGCATATAGTACTCTACAGTATCTTTCTAGTTTCAAAAACTCAGAGCTAAGTATTTATGATAGCTATAAGGAAGCTGACAGGCAAAGAAGGAATTTGGGAGGGAGAGGCTATAACATTTGAACTTACACTCTCATGCACTCAGAAACAACAGAATAACTGCTGAGCTAGAGGGGAGCTCCAAAACATGAGAAAGGAAAATGTATGGATGGAAGGAAGGTGGAGGAGTTGCATCTTCAGCTGCTCCACCAGCCTGAAAGAGCAAACATTCAGATAAAATAGTCTTCTAGATGTCTTCATAGTCACTCTAAAACAGGTGCAAAAATCCAAAACTGTGATTTGAAAAAAAACCCTGTTGTTCTGGAGGACTTAAACTATCAATTCCTTGTTGGTCTTTCATTTTAAGTATCCAGAACTACTGGAAACCTCTTTGCAAGAAGGCCCTGATGTAGCAGGGAGGAAATTACATCTGATGTACGCATTCAGAGCTGGGCTCCTCTAGGAAATACAGAAAGAGCAAGAACATTTTACTATTTTTATAACATCAATATTACTTATACAGTACATAAATCAATATTAATAATTGTCATGTAAGCCACTGGGCATGTTAGCTGACGTATCCAATAAACTGTAACACTGTGATCAGTTCTGTCAAAATAAATTAAGGCTATATTGAGCAGGAGTAAGAAAAAAAGGCCTTGGAGATGGCATTATTGAACTCCTTACAAAATATACATCTAATAGGAATCTGAAAGATCACTAAAACTAGTCAACAGCAAAATAAGAATATGCTCAGCAATACTTGAATGTATTTCTTTGTTCATTGTGCTTGCAGCTGATAAACTTTTTCTGGGAACATTTATCATAACCTCTAAGGTCCACTGAGCATATCTGAAAGATTTTTTTACCTTTTTTTCCCCTCTCATCAAGAATGTATTCTTTTAATTTGAAATAAATCTGGAAGTAAAATACATTGTAAAAAGTAGTCAGTGTTAGGAAACACTGCTGGCAAAAAGAAATCCAACATGGATTCTGCTGTGTACCTGTATAAAATCTAAGCCATGAAGGTGAAAAAATAGTGTTAAAAAACCTCATAGACCGACAGACCGAACCTGTTGCTTTTCATTCTTGACTGCTTTTTTTGATCTCTGTGAAATACTAGAAAGGATAGGCTCCCATTCCTCTGACAGGGCCCCTCACACTAAGCAAGCTCTGCTTAGTCCCAAGTTTGTAATCAGCTGTGTAATTACATACAAAGTCTGGTATTTTCTATCTAGAGTTCAGTGGCACAGGGATAAAAACATGATCGCAATAGTACAAACACCTTCAGAACAAATACTGCAAATCCAGATGAGGTGGTTAAAATCAAATTATAAAAGAATCCACATCTTTCTCTAAATGTTGAAGATAAATTACCACACTGACTCCATCACTGATGTGAACATAGAGTAAGTGTCAAATTATGAGCAGTGAATAACAGAAATTTGCCTTCTAGATGAGATTTTAGTGAATTGTCGCCACACAACTACTGCACTACTGGTTTTGAGAAACCAGGAGAGACCGTGTCAGCTACTAGAAGTCTTGGGACTCCTTTCTCAATAAGGACAGGTCAGTTAGTTATGGAAAACAACAGCAATGACCATACAATATATGATAATTTAATTTTAGTCTCTGAAATTTTATTATCATAACCATTCTAAACTGCCTTTTCTGCCATTTCTGGGGCCATCTGCAACAAAGACAGAACTGCACTGAATGTCATAGCTGGTATGCAGTTAATGCTACTTCATGAATTGATCAGCCTTTTGCAAGTTGTCAGCTCATTCATTCTAGGTTCATGAAGTTAAAGCTAAAGCATGGGGCTATGCCACATTGCCTGCAGAACAGAGAAAGTAGTTTAGAGCAGTGAAATTCCCCCCCCCCCCCCACCATGTATTTTACTTTGTCTGCTTAAAAAGATTCTAAAAAATGCTAAAACAGGAAAAGAGACGTAATATGCATGGATGCTATAAACATAGTCAAGAGACAAAAAAAACCATGTCCAACCACTTGCATTGCAGAAGTTCCTCAGTTGACTACTTGGATTTCCTGAGAGCTCACACTTCAAGTGAGACTTTGCCTCTGTGATTCTCCAGTGGTGGTTTTTACAGAATACTATCTTGGTCTGCTTTCTAGTTAAAGCTCTTTTTCAGTGCCCAACTCACCTGACTGAGGAAATACTGCATGTTTCACATGGAGAGATGCAAAGAGAGGCTTGAAAAGAAAATAAAATATCCCTCAGAATTAAATACTCTGCCTTCAACAGCCTCACAAAACATTTATAATTACTCTGCTGATGAAAATAAGAGATTAAAAACATATTTCAAACTAGCATCTCTATTCTGACTGTTATTTTGTGCATCTGGATAAATGTCTTGTAGAGGTCTGATCAGAGCGACTGGATACCTACCTTTTGCATGAACGTGTTGGAGCAAGCCATTACACCTCAGATTATCCAGTGAAATTAATGTTATCTAAAACTTCTTAAGGATCCAGTACCATAAACTCACACCTGAGTCACATTTATAGAAATTATTTCATGCTAGTAATAAAGAAATAGCTGAGTTCCAGCTTGGTTAATAAAACCAAACAGGTAACATCAGTGTGGACCTGTCAACTTCCCTGTTCCCAGTCCCTTCTTACCCATACGGACATGCAGATGGACAACCTTGAGAATTTCTAAGCTCCTACTCTTTCAGAAAGAAAGAAATATAAATTTTTGCCTACAATGCGACTTTTTGGCTTGTCCAGAAACTTTTCTATCAGTGACAACTTACACTGACAATAGGAATTGGCTAGGTCACATTGCATTCATTCTTGAATAAGAATTCTTTTTCTCTGGAGTCTCCAGCAATACTAGTTAGAGGTAGCTTTAACAGGACTTCTGGTGATTACTTCACACAAAATGATGCCCATCTTGTAAGAACTGGCCCAGAGGACATTATTTAAAATGCCCTCTTATTCCTATGTGTAAAACACTTCAGGAGAATGCACTGCAAATTAGTTACTCAAATAGCAACAAAGCAAAAGTTAAATACTTCTATCTTTAATTTCCTGGAAATAATCTCATATGGGATACACTGGAAGGAATTCTACAAAAGGAAACCACTTGCATAACGAGAAGCATGTATTTAATTAAATGCTTTGCAAAGATACATGAATAAAGCTATGTGCATGACTTTCTTTAGGGATGGCCCCAGCTGTTTATTTATTATTTTTTTTTAAGGAACAAACAAAAAAATGTGGAGAGCACAGATGCAATAAAGAAACAAAAAACCTAAATAAGTTTGTACCCACATACTTTACAAAATAAAGCATGCTAGTGGTACAAAACGTTCTATATAATGTATGACCAACAAATAAATGCACTGTAACATTGTTCTTTCAAACACGATAAGCCTAACAGCTAAGCTCTGAAAATGACATTGACATCTTTTATTTCATCAGCCTTCTACAGAGTCATTTAGCACCATCACTTTTTTGTTGGTTTTGCCCTGCCTATCTCCTTTTCTTGAAATAACAACAGAAGCATAGCACCTTTTATTATCTAAAATAGAAACAGGAATATTAAATGCATCCCAACTTCCAGAGATGAGGTAGCTCATGCTAAGAAATGATGGAACTTTCTTGCCTTGACAACTCCAAGGCCAGTAAGTCAAATTATTGGGGATGCATGTCTGGATGTCAGCTAAACCCAATGAATTTCTAAACTTACTTTCTTTTTATTAGCAGTTGGTCTGGTATACATGTGAATGACTTGCAACATACATAAATTGGCACCGTATGTAAGACAGACATCTGTATCATTTGATATGTAATGGCTTCGTAGATGGGCAAGTATTGGAAAATCAACAAGTATTGGGTTTAAGTTTTCAAGATTAAGGGTAATTTAATGAAATTACACAGATAGATACACTGTGAGAAGTGAAGTCTGATCTTAAAATTTAAGATATGGGACACCCCTACTGAAAACTCATATTTACCCCAGTGGTATTTTTACTTCATAGATTAACCATGGCTATGGCATACTCTTCTGAGCAGACTATTACATAGGAAGGTGCAGGAAAGACAAGCCAAACTAAGATCTTGTCTGAAGAGATTTCCTTCTACAAAAGACAGATTTCTGTGAATGGCTATTATCCTGGCAACCACAGGACGACAAACTGGGGTAGAGGGAGTAGCTATGATTGAAATGTAGCCAACAGTTCACGAAAGTGCTCTACTTTTCTGTTATTCAGTATGCATCCAAGCAAAAGAAATAATTCTTAGAGCTTTACATAGTCCCACATTAAAACTATCCATTTTGAATACCTGTAAATTTCAAAATAATTTGAAACAAAGGTGAGGGAAAAGATTCTTATTACTTTTAAAAGGTGGTCATCAATCCTCTTAAAATTGTACTGTTGTACTAAATGGTTTCAATCATTTGAAACAGAAGGTTTGTAAGTAAAATAAATATTCAAAAGGAGGCCGGGCATTTAAAAAGAACCTTATATACAATGCTGATCCAATATCAGCCATTACTTCAAGAGTCTCAGGATTAACTTCAATCAGTCTAAGTTCATGTGTTTAATTGCTGCTGTTGCTGGGTAGTGTGTTAATTTCCCCCCTTCCTCCTACACAAAGCAAACTGGCCCAATTTCAATTCCAAATTCCTGGTCGGTACTGCCAATGTCCACGGGTGCCATATCTATGATAGGTAAGCGTGCCACGTTCTGCGTTCTGTACTCAAAAACAGTCTTGCCCACATTCCCATTACGTTTCTGGAGGGGAAAGAAAAAAAAAAAAGAGAAAAAAAGAGAAAATGTAGGCCAAAGCTGATGTCAGAAACAGCCCAAATTCAATTGTCTGATAGGTCAGAAGGATCTCAATGTATCCTCGCTAAGCAACAACCCCTGCCTTGTATTGCACCTTGGTTAGTTTAAAATGTATGCATCTTGTTCTTACAGCAATGAAGAGACATGTCAGATTGACACACCAGGATTTCCCCCTCAAGCTGGACTGATTTATCTTTATGTTATGAAGTTCTTCTCTATGTTTTAACATGCACCTGCACACATAACCTTAGGCCATATTTAAAGCACAGAGTACTCCAATTTTTCAAGCACCAAACTAATTTTAGAAGTATTTTGCCAGTATCTTGGACTTGGCTGAGAATGCTACTGAACATGAAAAAAAATTACTCCTTGCTGGTTCTTATGCCCACTAAGTATCTGGGGGACGTTTTCCTTCCGAACTTAGTCACTCACAGCACCAGTGAGTTTCCTCCAGTGTATTGCTGCAATAATCTTACCCATCTGGCAGATAAATGCTTGTGGTTATCTGAACAATTTGTGTGATTGCATACAATTAAACAAATACTAGGAAATGCAAAATGCTCATTAATTAGTAGTAATTTGTAAAAATCCTCTAAATACTGCTGACTTCTATTATGTGAAGAATTCTAGTAAAATACAGATTTGATCAGTTACTTCTACAATTCATGATAAAATTCTGCAGCATTTTATTACTTTTTTTTTTTCTAAATACAAATGACAAAAAGGCCAAACTTACAGAACAGCTGTCATGAAGAACAGTGTATCTGAATCGGCTGTTGCCCTCTGCTTTTATCTCCAGGTCATTGGCCCCTTTCAGAATTACAGCTTTTTTAAGGTTCTTTGTCTGGTCATCCATGTACCCAACACTGTTCTTACAGATGTAAGTGATATTCTGGGAAGCTTCCTTTGATAGGAGGCGCAGGAATGTCATCTGAGTAACAGCTGTATCCCCATACACAAACTGTGAAGATAAAGAAATAGATCAACATATATTACATAAAAATGAATTAAGAGTTCATTAATTTTAGAAACATCTATCATTACCGTAACCCTTCCCAGACATGACTAGCAGAAGCCCCATTACATGGTTTCTGTTGTAATATGCTGCCAGTTGAGGACGAAGAAATGTAGACATTCTGTAACAGGGGTCTTTTTGGAGAATTTGACCATAAAACTCTGCAGCTGAACAACTCAAAAGCAGCTGGGCCTCCACAAACATGTCAAGTTTTGGAATGAATTCTGCCTTATTTCAAAAAGGGATTCAGTAGGAGTTAAAACTTACATATGAAATGGTGCATTAGAACAACCTCAAAGTAGGTAAGAAACGTCAAGCACAGAAAACCCTTTTACAGCACACCTGCTATACTGCAACTTTGGCAACCTGTTTTCTATAGGCTTTGTAATGTATTTACGAGCATCACAAACAGCCAAAGTTTGACCATATAAAAATAACCATACATTGGCATATGGGCTTTATCAACTAACTAACCTGCACAGAAATTTGACAAATGTTTTACAAAGAGCCAATGTTTCTATAAAAAAACAGAAGCAATTTTTCTACTAATAACGAAAATTCTAAAATTCATGAGGTTTGTGTTTTTTGTCCCTGTGCTGGTCTCATTTTATTCATGCTTTATGAAGCATTGCAACATAAAACACAACAGTCAAGAATTACTAACAATGTATACACTTTACTGAAACTGGTGAAGAGACAATCTTACGCACTGATGCTGTCGTTTTATACGAGATGTTTATCTCTGCTTAGTAGTCTCAGACATACTTATTATTTAGATTCCATAAGGAGAGCATCTGACTATTACACAACTACTACTATTAGTTGTAAAACCTGACAGCGTTTTCAAAAATTAAATATTCCTTTATAGTGTTCCTCAAGATAATTTCTTCCTCCAAAGAGGATCTGACTTACAAAAACCTTATGTTTAGCTCTGCAGGCAGCTGAACATCAGCTGTGACATCTTCAGTCATGGCAAATTCTCCTGAATTTAGTAATAAGTGAAAGCATCTCAAGAAAGCAATCCATACCACATCTGTTCTCAATATCACATGTTCTCATTTGTTCAAGCTCTGAACTGTTCTCAGGAACCCAATTGGTAAGATTATTTTTTACTCTCCAAACACTAATTTTAAACCTATTTAATTACTCCCTATGAAATAACAATTGAGAATATTTTCTGTGAGTTTGATAGGATGAACCAGGAATAAAAATAACAAAAGCTGGTTATTTAATTATGTATTTTGCATATCATAAACTTCTGTTATTTGGCAGGATCATAAAGCTGACTTTGAGAAGTTGCCACAGAGGGAAAATGCAACAGAAAACTGAGCGGAATTTTTGTCTGCCTGGAGACTGATGCATTCAGCATGGAGCATCCTGACACATGTGGTAATACTCATACGTTCTTTAAAAATTAATTTCTAAAGTAAGTTTTGTATTTTCTGTAGGAGTGAAGAGTTTTCTGAAAGAGAGTAGAGTTCAATTAAAATGGCAGTGGCTTAAATCTTGTATTAGGGTAAAAGTACCTTTATTTTTTTTAAGGGCAAGGATAGCGAGTTACTACAATAGATTGCTAGAAATGTCAGTATTTTTGGGATCAGGAGAAATAAATCTCTTCCAGCAGTGGTCTACTTGTAGCCAACCCTGCATTAGATGCACTTGCATTGCTTTTCCCAGCTTTTCCTCTACTTCCTGTATGATAATAATAACCAATTGAATATAAGCCAGTCAATTAATAGTTATAATGTTCTGAATGTAGCAGAATCTGCTCAGAATAGTAGATGAGGTTCAAAACCAGAAAGAAACAAGTTTCATAGAAGTTACATATATTTAGTTACCTGTGATCCCCTGTTCATATCAAGGCCATACCAAATGGGCTTTAAGTCAGATGACCTGCTGGCCCACCATGTTTTACGTGGTATAGTAGATGGGTTTGCAGAAATACAGGTCTCTCCAGTTTCCATGTTGCAGTATACTTTTATAGCATCTTCAACACATCCTTGGTTAGGATCAATCCAGTATTCACCTACAAAGAACACAAAAAAGTTTCAGAAAATGGGGCAAAAAGCTGGTAAGGCCTGCCACAAATTCTCCCTACTTTTGTCTGATTTATCTGCATATAATCCATATAAAATAGGAAAACTCCTAATGTTAGCACATGAGCACCTATGAACTGCCAGTATGGAGCAGCAGCAGCAGAGAATTCTGGACAGAAAGCCTTCACAGGCTGTCAGCCAGGTAACATTTTGAGCTAATAGCAATTAAGCAAGTATTCACAACCAGTGTACCAATCTATCTCTGTCACAGTATAAGCAGCATTCCATGGTGATAACCCTTTCAGAAGTAACATTTCATGGAAGTCTAAAATATTTCAGATTTTAAAATACATCTGAATAAAAAACCTGAATAAATAGACATGGGATACATCCGCATATATACTTCACTGGCAAGAAGGAATACATTTTTTGTGAGGCATTTTCAAGCTCCTAGTGTGAATGTTGATTTAGGCCATCAAAAATGTGTGTTACACAATTTTTTTCCAATGAACAAGTATATACTGGAAACAAGACAGCATCATTTATACACACCGCTCTT